CATTGGCGTTGTTGTCNGCGTCATGCGCCGCAGTGGCTAAAACGCTCCCGCAGTTCGCGGCTTTTCTGCACATAGGAGAGTTCCTCATTAGCTTCCATTAGGAAGCCTAGTGCGGAGCGATAGCCTTGCTCGTCGCAGAATTGTCTGACTTTGTCAAACATGCGCGACGGCGGTGTTATGCCCTTACGCTGGGCACGCCTTACGTACTTCTCATACATTTCCTGGACCTTTTGTACCAGTTCCTTTGCCCTAGAGGGGCTCACCTGGCGCAGCTGATAGCGCTCATGGTCGGCCTTCGCCGACTGGGTGCGCATGGTATTCCCTGGGCTCGCCATGTAAGTCAGATAGAAAATGTTTCTTAAGTTGGAATGTGTTTGCGGAAGCGATGGAGTGCTTGACTCCGAGGTCGTTTGACCGGTTGGTCTAAGATACCAAAATTGTAACAAAGCTTGCAGTTGGCAAGCAGTTGCGAAAAAGGAAATTATCCAACGATAAAAGGTGGTATTGATAAATACCGTTTGGTATTGGAAGATTATGAATAGTTCTTGGATGTACCGTTGGTACGATACCGTTGGCCCGGTGAGCCAAGGGCCGCCTTAGCGGCGTTACAAAGGAGCCCAGGGCTTCAGCATCCATCGTAGTACAAGGGCTAAATTGTAGGGAGTGACAATATGTGCGTATAAATCTTCTTCTATGGATCCCTGCGCTGCTGTCGGACTACTTGCTCACCAAGGCGTGTAATTAGTAGGCCAAGCAGGTCACCGATGGTGAGCGGAGTGAGGACCAAGTTCAGCGGCTCAAGTATCAGCTACAACGGATCGCAGACAGAACGCAACCGGCCATAAAAGCATGTCAAGTGGGATGGGTGTAAGGAAAGGGACCAGGAGAGATTGGGTTCCTACAGCCCCTCGTGAAACAGCTCTACGGTAACCAAGGCCGCGTGCGGGAGAGATTTACTTGGCCAGCAAGGCAAATGCGGCGCCCGAGCGATAGAGCAAAGGAACGGCCCGTATACGTGGCTACAATGCTCTGGTCACGTGCACATGAGTTACCACTACCACGACACCCATGTGCATGTGTCACATCTGGGCCTGCTAACTCTGAAACCCGCCAAGCCGGAAAGATCGCCCAAGCAGGCACTCTACCGGTTAACGAAGAGGGGCCGGAGGGACCACTGTCCTGGCTTACTCCATCTGAAGCCTGTGTGCTCTGGGCAACGCGCGGTTACAGCTCAATGAAACAAGTACGGGTGAGCTCATCAGCAGCTGCTGGCGGCACCAGCAGCGCCCTGAAAGTGCTTGCGGCACGGGGACACCACCCTAATCGGAGTTCCTTTCCCCCCGGTGCTGGGTGAAGAGACGACGTAAAGACATATTAGTCCAGCTCCCAGGGGCCCCCGAGCAACTCACTGAAAAGGCCTCGCGTTAAAAACACCGACAACCCTCGGTACAAACAAGGCCTGAGGACTCATCGTGAGTCCACAATGCCGCACCACACCACACCACACCGCACCACACCACGTCCTTATCCTGGTGGCCCCAGCTGGTTCAGAGCCTGGCATGCTTCGATGGGAGCTCGGGGGGAGGTGCCGTTGCAACTGTTTGCTGGACCGGTGAACAGCATGTTAGGCCGGTCAACAGCCGGCAAATTAACTACAGACCTTTGGAATAATGAAGTTGTTGGCTGGTGTTGGCTTTATTAGGACTGGGCATGCACCAAGGTTGAGGGAAAATAAGGCCCAGACCTGTAAAACTATGCACGGAACTGCCGCACGGCGGGACGGATTCTGGCCGAGCAACGTTCGTAAGACCGCGTGGACTGTTCTCTAGGGAAGAGGAGAATGGCCTGCGTCCGTCTGAGCAAGTGCTTGTCCATAAAAATTTATGAGCAGAGACAAATCAACGGCGGTTATGTGTGAAACGTGTGCTTATGACTGACGTTGTGATGCATCAGCACCATCCGGTAGAAGCGTTGAATTGCTTTATGAAGTTTAACATACAATAATTTGCTCTACATTCTTTTGGATGCCACAGCATGTTGGAAAAAGTCTTTGGCTCTGCTGAAAAAGAGTTAGCTCTGTGGCATCGTGGTATAACTCAAAACTAGAGCCTTTTCATGTTTTTTTGGAACTTCCCAAGCTAGCAGCTTTATATTAATGCTGCCAACATCAGTGGGATCGCCGGGTGTGGGCGTTACGCGGAGCTCACCGTCTGCAATACCAACGGTGGCGATGCGCCGAAGTAAACTCTTACTTGCAGCGCTCTCAACACCTTTCCGTGTGAACACGCACCTTTCGTGCGAAAGCCGCATGCACGGAACCACGTCGTCGCTGTTGCCATGGACAGGTTGCTCGTCATGCGCCCACATAGTTCCATATCCAGCCCTTCCGCCACCAACCTGCCACCTATCACACCTGCGTCACCGCATCTCCTGTCCACGGTGTCCAACGATGTCAACTAACTGCCGCGGCAACTCCATCGCCACCGCGGGCGCTTCATCCTCGCCCTTGGCCAACAGCTTGATTAGCCCCTGCGCACCGAGCGGCCCACGTGCACGCAAAACTCCCACACCCCGCCCCGGCGATTTCAGCTCCTTAAGGCTGCCATTCTCACCACGCAGCTCTCCTCACTCTCACCCACACGGCCCTCGCCGCCACCATCTTCGCACCGTCAGCACAAGGCTGTTCGACCGGAGACAGGGCTCTGGCCCATTACCTGTCGTAAATTGGATTGCAAGCAGCTGCACCGACCGTACTGCCCCGAGCACCAGCCCTAATCTACGCAAACCCGGTTCCAGCCCCAGGTCCAGCAAGCGACTGGCCACGAGCCCATCCGTGGCTAGTCCGCCCGTCGGCGCTTTGTGCACCTGCCGCTGCTGCTGTACGGCGTCTGCTGCTGCTGTGTCCGCGTCGGACCCCGTATCGGCCGCAGGTCCCGCCGCCACCACCGTGGGCGCCGGCAGCGCCGCTGCTGCTGCCGCCAAGGCGGTGGATGCGGCAGTACCGGTACGGCGACCGGCGCCGTCCTCCGCGGCCGCCGTGAGTGGCAGTGGCGCGGCGCCCGGCGGCGGCGGCAGCAGAAGCAGTACCACCAGTAGCAGTAGCAGTAGCAGCATCCGGGGGAGAGTCAACGCTGACGTCAGCTCTACGACCAGCAGCAGTACCAGCAGCGGCGGCAGGGCCAGCAACCAGGGTAATTCCTTGCAGCCGTACTCGGACGAGGGAGCCCTTTCAGATGGCTGGGATGTATTGTATGTGCAAGAGCAGCAGCAGCACCACCACCACCACCAACAACAACAACAACAACAACAACAGCAGCAGCATCAGCAGCATCCTGGGGGTTCTGAACCGCAGCTCCCAGCACCCCTTAGCACACCACCACCGGCGGCGGCGGAGGGCGTCTTGCGGTGGCGGCAGGGGGGCGCTGCGGTGGGCCCTGCACCCGGCGAGCTGCAGATTTGGTGGGCACCCCTGGAGCAGGTCGGGGTTCCCATTGGGTGGGGTGGGGAGAGGGAAGTTGGGAGGGGTGTTGCGGGGTTTCGGGGTTGACAGCCTTGGTGGAGCGGCCGCGCGGGGGAGGAAAGAGAAAAGGATTTCTAGGCGGTACAGGTGCAGGTGGTATTCCTCCACCCGCTGTCCCCAACACGCTCAACCCCAAACACCGTCCTTGGGTAAACCCCCCAAAACCCTTCACTCGCTCGTGGTTCGTTTCCCCCCCAACACCCCCCGGGTAGCTGTTCCGGCCCAGTTCACAGGACGCCAGGGGTTGGGGGCCTGGTCGCCTAAACCACCACACCGACCGCCAAGTACCACCTGGCCTCTCACCCTCTGCTTCACCCGCCCAGTAATCCCCCCCCACCCCCACCTCACCCCCACTCCCACCCCCACTCCCACCCCCACCTCACCCCCACCTCACCCCCACTCCCACCCCCACTCCCACCCACACCTCATCCCCACCTCACCCCCCCCCACCC